GTTTTCACCTGGCTTCCATTTTTTTTCTCCGATGGCAAGTTGCAGGTGCTCAATGCCTTTCCAGATGCTTTTACTTCACTTCAGACGGTTTTGGGCCAGTGATTCCCAGGTGTCTGTGGGAATATTGCACTTTGCCAGTGAGGTCTTGACGGTATCTCTGAAGCGCTTCCTTTGTCCACTTGGAGCTCGACTGCCATTTCGAAACTGGCAGTACAGCACCTGCTGGGGGCGTCCCATGTTGGTCATGCAGATGACGTGTCCAGTCCATCACAGTCAATCAAGGGTAGTCAGTGCCTTGATGCTGGGGATGTTGGCCTGGTTGAGGATGCTGGTGTTGGTGCTTCTTTTTTCCCAACAGATTTATAGGATCTTGCACTGGCAGCGTTTCTGGTACTTCTCCAGTGCATTGAGATGTCTGCTGGAGACACTCCACATCTCAGAGCCAATAGGAGGGCAGGAATCACCACATCTCTGTAAACCATGATCTTGGTGTCGGATCCAATGTTGTTGCTCTCGAATACCCTTTTCCTCAGGCGGCTGAAAGCTGTGCTAGCACACTGGAGGCAACGCTCCATGTCTTCATCAATAGCTGCTTTGGCTGACAGGACACTTCCGAGGTATTGAAAATGGTCAATGTTCTGTAAGGCCTCCTCATGGACCTTGATGATTGGGGGTTTGCCCCACAATGCCAGGCCAAGTTGATGGGTCACCCCAGCGAGTGTCATCGAGCTGCAGCACGGACACTTGTGTATGCACAATCTCGGAGGGTGTACTCCAGACCACTGTCAGCACCTTTACAGAGGTCAATGAGAGCATAGGTCTCACCCTGAATATTTGCAAGATGAAGGTCTAGGAAATAGCATCCTTTCTATGACTAGGCCATCAGTGCTGTACACAGCATTTCAGAAGATGTCTGATCATTGTCTTACACAATGTCAAACTGGCCAAAATGTGCATTCCTGCCATTCTACTAATGCAATCTACTAACATCTCATTACAGAGCTAATACTATGGAAATAAATCAATGTAGTGCGAATGCTAGAGATCTGAAATAATTAAAAGAGAGTGCTAGAGAATACAGCAGGTCTGGCATAATCTGTGAAGAGAGAAAGAGAGTTAACGTTTTGGGTCCAACATGACTCTTTTTTAGAACTAGTTTTCTCTGCAGTTTCTCTCACTACAGGTGGTGCCAGATCTGCTGAGTTTCTGTGTAATTTTCTGTTTATATTACTAATAATATTATGGAATTTGATAAGATAGGTGTATATTTTTATTTAAGTGAAATGGTAGAACAGTTTTGATCCATTACTTACATGAATATCTTAGAGGATTTGAAGGAACTCAAAACTAATAAATTCTCTAAGGAAAGACATTGTGCTGAGGGTGCAAAGAAAGATGGGAGGTGAAGTATACAAGTTTCTAGCTGTTATTGTCTGGAGTAACTGAAAATAAGAGAGATTCTACTGGAAAGAAACAAGCAAACATAGTAACTGTCAAAACAATGCATTTGTGAGCCTGGGAAGCAATGGTGAGAAAGACCACAGTTAGAAATGGAATGCAGAAATAGCTATAAATGAGTAGTGACACTGCAGACACATGCTCAGAGCTTAGACAACGGAGTGCTAACATTTTCCTCAGTTCAGAAAATGCAATGTCCTAACACTCTCCAGGGTTCAGAAAACCCACACTGCCAATATTGCTCATGGTTCAGACAATGCACAACGCTAACACTCTTGAAGCTTCAGACAGCTGACAGTGCTAGCACTCCCACAGCTTAGACAACCAACAGGTAAACATGTCCCAAAGTTCAGACAACCCACAGTGTTCCTATGCTCCATGGCTCTGTGAATACATATTGATGACATGCTCCACAGTTCAAGCAATACTAGTCTGGACACAAAACACACTCCTTTATTGACAGAATGCTCAAGGAAGACCTGAAACTTGTTGAAAAGTGGACCTTGCAACAAACTGCCATCATGTATATTTGAGGCAGTTATTTAAAGAAATTTAACATCGGAAACAGGCAGCCACTTTGCTTCTTACTCCATAGCTGCAGACAACACATGACGACTTTAAAATTAAATCAGGCAAGTTTGCAATGCCAACTAATAGATCCCTGTCCTCAAGATGGGATTCTCAGGAAAGTAACAGTAAATAGCAATGAACTATAGAACCTTCTGAAGTAGAGACCATGGTTCTATCTCCGACCCAAGAGGCTGTCACACTGAAGTTGTACTATGCTCTCATCAGGTTTTGAATATTACATTTACTTTTAGTTAATGAAGGGCAAGGAAAACTTTAAAGCCTGGGAAGCAATGATGAGAAAGAGCACAATGTTGATGGCTCAGTAAAGAGAAAATGAAATGCTCACCTTGCTTTAACATAATGTTTTTAACCTAAGGGCACTATAGCAGGTTAAGTCATTTTTAAACTCTTTTTCCAACTTAAATCAAATTGCAGAATGGGCAGAGATAGCTGCAAATTACAAAAGGTAAATTCAATACTGGTATACTTTTCACGTAGAGAATGACAGGGTATTCAAAACAAAGTCTCATGTCATTCAGTTGACAGCTAGATTCTGTAAAGAAGGAGTGCTGGTTCCTATGAAAGGGTAAGTTAGATAGGCTGAATCTCTATTTATCGTCACAAATTTCATTGGTCATAGAAAGTAAATTAACTAAGCTAAATAAACTAAACTAATCCGACTCTACAACGTTTGGTAACGATTTCAGCAGCTGCTCAGCAAAAGAAATGCATTCAACACAACAAAATATGATAAACAGAGCACAGTTTCCAGTAGAAACTGGGAGGAGGAAACAGGAAGGTACATTTATATGCTTCTCTTTTTCTTCCTGACTATATAACCTCTACCAAGATGTGGAACATTAAAGCCACTCATTTATAGTAGGAGATTATGAGCATAAAATGCGCCTCTAAGGTGGCTACTTAGTTCCATAGAAAGTCAATCAAGCTGTGTCTTTATTCAATGTCTTTCAAAGCATCAAAGGATTTGGGTTACTCTGAACTACTTTAAAACAAAGGGCTAAGGGCATGTCTTCATGGACATGTAAGAACCATTCTACATGTCATGAATTTAGATACTTTTATGCACATTGCGATGTCTTGGGAGTAACAATTCTGCTGTGGGTTCGTACATGTTAAAACTGCAACTACTAACCTAAATCTGGTCACACAAATTTGTCAGTTGGCCTGGAAGATGTGGATCTAGTTATGTCTCGAAGTGTAGTGCACTCATGGGTTTGTCCATTCTTACATAATAGCAAATGGTACTGACTAAAACAGACCAATAGTAACTGTTGTGCTATGAAATCAAGCAGCTTAATGAGTTGGATTGGAGAATCATGTCACAAATTGTTTGGTTGTTCTCTTTCAGACAGCTTGAAAAAATACCTGGGCACAAATACTTGGTTCAGGTGATAAGGACACTTTTGCAACATTTTTGGGTCCTCCTATCAAGAAACCAGATACAGGGGAGTTGAAAACAACTTGCAATCAGTAACACAGACACATTACATATGGAGACAACTGACATTACTGTGCTTGGGAAGGTACCTATGACAGACCTGAATTCATAATAGTGTATGGCAGAAAAAGCTATCATGCTCCTTTCTTCCTTAATCAATTTACACACCATCCTAACCAGATGAAACAATCTGTCCAAAAACACTTCTGAATAGAGTAAGTGCAATAGAAGTAAGTCTGTACTCCTGCCTATTCAGGGATCTACTTCAAATCTATATGTCCAAGTAATGAAAAATGCACAACATGGGCAGTTGCATCTCCACGTTCCACTGGGTGGAAACATATCTTAATGTGCTCTATTCCCAGTAGTGATAGAATTCCCATAATGTTGTGAGGTAGGATTGTCAAGATTTTGTTACAGAGGTGAAGATATAGCAGTATATATTGAAGTCAGAATGATGAACAACATCACTGGTTGGTGTTGCCAGTAGGCAAGTATATTGTTGCTTTTGTCCTTCATGATGGTTAGGGGTAGGGGGGGAATGTTGGGAGATGCAATGCAAGTTACCATGGTGAGATGCTGCTTTATGTACTGGAGTTGAATAGGATGTTACAGTGTTGAGCAAATAGGCAGCTTTGTTTTTGATGATGCCAAGCTTCTTGAGGAAATTTGGCTAATATTTAAGTCAATCCCAGAAGTTGCTAAAGAAAATTGCAAACAAGCAACCTTCAAAAAACTAGAAAAAGATTCAGGAATACGGCCTAGCAGCACAGTTTACATATATTAAGACAGATTTGTTACACAACACTTGTTGATTGGGTAGAAGTGCCCTCAGTTAAAACATATCTATCTCTGCACCTTACTACAAATGAGTCTAACAGCTGAGAAATGGTGACTCAAATCAATATCTTTAAGAGTGGATCTTATCCATAGCTTGGATCAATCCTTTATTGATCCTCCTACAAGAGTTGAATTTGTGATGCATCAATAGGCAACATGATGCAGATCATATTTGTTTTCTGAAGCCAGAAGTGAGTATGGGAACTAAAATAAATTTTAAATCTAATCAAGTCTGTATTCATTACTTGTGCTCCAAATTTAAAAAAAAATAACATTTGTTCATGGGATGCAGGCATCACTACCTAGGTCAGCATTTATTGCCAATCTCTGATTGCCCAGAGGGCAGTTAAAAGTGAACCACGTTGCTGGCAGTTTGGAGTCACATGTAAGGCCAGGTTAAGGATGGCAGATTTCATTCCCTAAAGGACATAAGTGAACAACATAGATTGTACCATATTCAACAGTGGTTGCATCGCTGTCATTAAATTACACCGAATTCAAATGTCACCATTCGTCATTGTGGGATCCAAACCCATGAGCCTAGAACATTAGCCTGGGGTTCTGTATTATTAACCCAGTGGCAATGTCACTATGCCACCACCCTCCCCTCTTTTTACTTTGATTCTAATGTGTAACTGTTTTGTGTTCAGAATAAATAACCTAAGATACTTACTTGTTGCTTTAATACTAAATTCTTCACGCCTTCCATTACAAACTGTGATCCAGTGTTCATTACACGTGAAAGCAGGCTGCAAAAAAGAAACATTACTTTATAATGGGCTCACCCTTTAACACTTGTCAATCTAAACTTTGTTGGACTATGAATTATATCAGTTATGTGCAGAACAGAGGAGTAATTTGAGATTTTTCACATTTGCAAATGTTATTGATATAATTTTTTTGTTAGCTTAGGAACATTCTGAACCTTTTTTTTCTTCTGGATGATCAAAACAAAACCAAAGATCGGTTTTGTTCAAGAGCTGCTTTCAATTACACAGGCAGAGCTTGTTCTGTAGAGCTCTCAGCAGTACAAACATTCCAACCACTCAGATTTGTCTGGTTGCTTCAGGCATCCACATCTTAATGAGCTAAGCCTTCTGGTGTGCTGTTTTGAAAATAATACTATGTTATATTTTGCACATAAAACACTATCTAGTCGGCACTTGTTCCAAGGTTGTGAAAAGCACTATGAAAATGCAATACTTTTTCTAATTATATTTTATCAGTGAACAAACAAAAATAGTTTGGGTTCCTTGCTGCTACAAAATTGTGTGGCCATAAGACATAGGAGAAGTTGGCTTTTCAGCAAAGCAA